TGTGTGTGTGCGCTTTGTCTCACTGCAGAAGAGCCTTGGTTTTGCGAGACGGATCATCAGGTCTGAAGTTCTTGTACTCCTCCACCTCCTTTTCAATGGACAGAAGCTGACTCTGCAGCTTGGCCCGCAGATTCGGCAGGGTGTCCCGGATGTGGTTGGTCAGTTGCTGTGCAGGTCAAAGGTCAGAATATCAGAATAAGGTCACTGGAAAACTGAAATAGTGTTTTGGGAAAACATAGGAATGGGCTCACTACATTCACATGTTTACACACCTGATTGAGGACTTTTTGGAGGTAGGGAGTTCCCATGCGGTCAGCCAGGTGTCTGTATGCCGGGTGGGAGAGAAAGAACTTCCTCTCGGCAGCCATTGCAGCATTAATGTCCTTCTTTCCATCTATGTCCTTTTGGCTTCTATTCACCACACCGATGTAACCTGGACAAGCAGACAGAGAGCTCCACACTCACAGTAAACCCTAAAACACTGACAGATTTAGAGAAAACCATCCAACTCCTTTGATCGTTTCCTGACAGACTTGAAACAGGTATTGTAATTTGTCTGGAAGATAATACAGACTTGTGTTAGAGCAACACTGAACTTTTCTGGGTTTTTATTTTCTACCCATGACCTCAGGTCTGAACAGCCCCTCCAAGGACCCAACTGTTTCACATGTGTTTAATAATGTTAAACCACATTTTAAGAGACCTCAGACCAAGAACTTAAAAGAATATAGACAGGAGAAGAGAAAAGGGGAAAGAGGGATTTGCATAAAACCAGAAAGAGAGAAAGAATTCCTGGATGCGTTTCTTCTTTTAAGGCGTAGAGAGACAAAAAAAGAAGAAGAAGTGCGGCGAAATAACCAGGAGAGGTTAGGTCACAAGGATCCTGTTTCACCTCCAGTTAAGCTTCCTCATGCATCACTCAGTTAAAAGCTGTTTCATGCTCTATAACTAAGGCAACTGTGAGCCAGCAGCCTTGTAAATGTGCATATCCACAGCGTTAGGGAGACGGGGAGAAAAAGAAGGGAGAGGGGGGGGGGAAAGTATAGAAAAAACAAAGGAAATGGAAAATATTCCAAAGCACATGCCTGGGTTTTAACCAAGTGCAAATGGAAAAGAAAAGCACCACATCAGCACATTGCAATAAAGGGCAGCTCACAAATTACATGCAAGTTATTTTCCAAGACAGTGTTTTTGCTTTTTTCTCTTTGCCCCTTCCCCTGCTTTTCCTTCCAGCTCTTCCTCTCTTTCACCCCTTTGTCTGTCTTTTGATTTCTTACACACTCTCCCACATCCCTTGGCCCTGTTTCTGTTCTTCGTTGCAGATGTTGGAAGAACTGAAAAGCTCTGAGTTACCACAAGGGGGAAACAGTGCGTCGTTGCGACCGACCTGAAGGAGACGGAAAAGGTGCTACTTTTTGTGTGAGCGTGCTGTCGAGGTATTACGCACCTCTCCTGAGTGGAAGCAGCTTATTCTCCAGGATGTCTTTAGCATCGGTCCCCTCATCCATCAGGTCCAGCTTGGTGATCACACCGATGGTCCTTAAACCTGACCCAGTCACGCAAATTTATCAACAGTATTATATTATGTGCATCTGTATAAAAATAACTAGGATGATACAAAGAGCAATTATAAATGAAACATCATTTCAAAGAGTTAAAAAAAACTCCTATTCGCTTCTTTACATGTGTGTAAACTGACCCTGAGGGTCGACCTCTTTGGCAATCTTTAAAGCGTCGGAGTTGGCCAGGTCAGAGTTGGCCGGGGAGACGGCCAGCATCAGACAGTTCTCCTTGGTGACAAACTGCATTAACATGTCTCTTATCTGAAATTCAATGTCAGCAGGCTGGTCGCCCACCGGCACCTTGGTCATCCCCGGCAGGTCCACAAGTGTCAGGTTCAGCACTGTGGGGGTAAAAAAAAAAAAAGAAAGAAGAGAAAACACAAAGCCAATTCAAAACTATACTTATTGATGCTCTACACACAGATTAAATCTTCAGTGTGTGTGTGGAATAAAACTGCGTCAGCCTCACCGTGTGGAGAGTAAACACGCAGGTTGATGGGCACAGGGGAGATTCCCTTGTTGGCTCCAGTTGCGCGATCCGTCTCCGCCTCGATCTCCTGCCGGACCTCATCAAAATCGATAAACTTTTTACCCTTACAGTGCAGGAACTCGGCGTATTCTGGAAGAAACGGCAAAAAAGTGAGACACAAATGAAAGTAATGTGACAGAATATCAGAAGATCCGGTGAGGTGGACAGCAAAGACGGTAAACAGAGAGTTGAATCAAACACTTTTAACATGATTTTTGTTCATGGGAAATTAAAGGTTTTTAAAGTCGATCATAGTCAATGACGCTCAGCTGCAAAGCGATGTGTCCTTGGATGAGACTTAAGACAGATAAAAACTGTTAGATAACTCAGTTAGAGCTTGGTTCATAAAGTAACAGTTGCTGTGACCGCGTATTGATTTTAGATTAACGCAAAGTAATTTATGATTGGCACCATGACTACGCTGTGAGAAAACACTCTCTGCTAGATCCTGAATCAATGTAACAACGTGTAACTATGGTAACGGGAGGATGTTGTCATTGCAAGTCTATAGAGATGAATGGCAAATGTGCACGGATGGTTTTTCTCTGAGGATAGGGGGACTTATTAGACTCCAGGAGGAGTCGGGGTTAGGTGGGTGATGGGAGAGTGGGTTAAAAGCTGTGCTACTTTCACAAGTGTTGTGTCTTTCCAGGAAGGCTCAGCAACAAATAATAAAATGATGTTATAACAGCTACATTTCAAACAAATAAAATAAATAAATAAAGGCCAAGAACGTGATGAGAGGAGACTGAAGGTTTGGCCAAGAATGAAGCTCCTGTGTCTGAAGAGAATAAAAAGGGATGTGGATATGGCAGCCTTTGGAATAGAAGTAAAATATTAAAGGCAGCTGGACTGGAAATTGAGACGCACTTAAAAAGACAGAAGTAAGTGAAAACCTTCCTTTTAGTCTTAAATGAAATAGACTGTGCCAGATGACAGACTTTGACAGATTTGTAAAATACTTGTCTTTTCTTGTTTTTATGACAGGTCGTGTAATAAATTCATTAAACACTGTATTATGTTTATACCTTTTACTTATTTCAAAGCATTAGACACAAGAAAACTACTGCAATCACCGTTACAGTAGCTCTCTGGCTTTTTCAGCGTCACTGGTTAATAAGAATAAATAGACTCAAATCAGCCATCTTTACCAAATTTATTCAGAGTGATGCACAGTTCCCAATAAAATGTCAAGACAGATTTCAAGATGTCAAGATTTCTGTACAAATAGCACGAACAGCTGTCTGATCAGCTGTAGATATCAAATATGAGTAACCAGTCAATGAAGCAGTCAAGATAAATCATTATGTAGTTTCAAAGGAATTTGGTGAGCTTTACCAGTGGGTGAGTTCATCAGCTGCAGGACCAGAGGACGGCGGGTCACAATGCCAGAGCCACGGGGAAGAAAATCCCTGCAACACAACAGATGGATGGCAGAGATGATGGTCAGTGAAAACAACCACAATGCAGCAGGGCTACAATAACAAAGTACAGTTACTGTGCCATCCTGATAATTTACTCCAAATATAAAAAGCAAACAAATCCATTCAGAAAAATGAAAGGTTGTGTCATCAATGATGTGACAGCAGCAGGAGAAAAGAACAGAGAAGAATCAGTAAATGAAAAATAATGAGGCCACCAGGCCACTTAGCTGTTTTCTGCAGGGATCCGTTTTGGGAGTGCATTCAATACAGCAGGAAATAAGTAATAAAATAGCAACAAAATACAGGTCAAGCTTCAGCTGATCCATCACTGATACATGTTGAATTATGTCTCAAATTAAAAACTCTTTCATTACCAGTTAGATCCTGTTCTAACTTTTAAATTAGTCGTATGAAATAAACTAAAATAGATTCAAACTGACATCTTCATGTTCCTCGTTTTGCCCTTCAGCAGGTCACTAAACCTGAGAAGCAGCAAATTGTCATGTTGAATAAAATGAAGTAATTTAAATTAAATTAAATTCATTCAGTTTACAGCTTGTAAGAACAGTGTTCGGAATATGATGGCAATGAGCAGCGAGCAGGTATTAAGTGAAAATCGAGTCAAATCAAGTTTCTTTGCTTTTAATAAAACAGCTGCATCGTGTGAGAAAGAATATGCTAACTGGAGTGTGCACGCACTCATTAGCTGTGATTAGTGGCCCTTGTATAGTCCAAAGATGACTGCCTCAAGTGTGATGACCAAACCCTAAATAAGGAGCGAAGACGGCTGGTTCATTTATGTTTATGCCATACTACAGCCACAGACAGAAAAAAAGCTCATTGGCTAATGCCTTGTGATTGACAAGTTGTGAACAAGCAGGCGTCCTGGGGTTTTTTTTTATCTCATGTGATCGTCCATTCTGAAACAAGGTATGATCAAGATTTACAAAACAGATTTAATGTTTTATTCAGTATGACCCCAAATGAGTGAGTGACTCCATAAAGTCTGCAGCAAGTTGTTTACAAAGGTTAAGACAGAGTCATTTTCCCATAGATCTCTATAGGATGGGAAGACTTTTTATTGCAACCACAGCTATTGCCATCTGGTGGCTTACAGACAGATTGCAGGTTTCCAAGAGCTGGATTACTATTCTGACCAATATTTAACAGTTGCCACTCACCACTTTATGATTCATTGAATAGGCGGTGCCTTCATGGAACCGTTTAGAGTTTAGTTTCGTGTGTTTTGACACTTTTAATTTTTTAAAGAATCAGTATATTTTAACCAAAAACCACCAAAACATGACTAATGAACATCACAGCTAAATCATGTGAATGGTGACAAATTAAGAATGAAACAGGTGTTTGATATGCTTATTTCTGCTGCTTATTTCTGATTATTGCATTGAGGTATTAACTGTATGTGTCCATGCAAATGAATGTGTTGTGCATACAGCTACTGACACTGATTGTGTGTGTCTGGGCTGTAAAGCAGCTCATCCAGATGCCTGCCTGCCGGACAGCTATGCTTTCCATTGCACAAGATCTCTTTTTTCCTGGAGCTATTCAGATGCAGCGTCAGCGTCAGCTCACCTCTTACACCCTGTGCCCCTCAGCTGATGTGACACCAATTTCTCAGCGATGCGAGGTTTTCTTGTTTTCTCTCCAACAGTTTCAAGTGAACCTTACTTGTAGTCACCTCAGCTTAATGACAGAAATGCAATCAAGCTACAAAACGTTTTCAATTTGCACAATGCAAAGACAAACTGTTCAGTATCTGATGAGAGAGCTCAACACTGGGCAACTGAATGTAACATTCATAAGAAATAGATGAGGTCTCTGTTTGAACCTGAGGCAAAGCCTGAGGCAGCTCGGAGTCATGAGATGAGAGTTAATCAGGTCTGAGCTGTGTTCTCTGACGAATTCACCGATCTGATGTGAAAGTTGGTGAGCACAGTGGGAAGTCTGTCAAAAAGCACATAAGGATGTTACACTGAGATATCATTAGTCTGATCTGTCTGTGCTTAAACTGCTGTAAGTATCTGCCTACCAGCACCTTTAAGCTCAATAATGAACATTTTCCTGTTAATTGTTCTTCTTGTTCTCTTCTTACGACTTGGAACTGGCCAAGAAGCAGTCTGCTACACAACAGCATAATACTATAAGAGAACAAGCAAGAAATTGGTAGTGAGATACTCTCAAATTGATCCAAAAACTTAAAAAAAAACAGATAATACAGGATTTCTAACTTGAAGAAAGTGTCCCTTTCTGAAAGACCAAACCGTGTGATATAATCTCATAAATCCTAAAACTCCAGGTTGCTGAGTTGTGCAGATATTAATCCAGCACATCTCTTAGACCACGATCAGCAAGCTTTGATTATCAACGACTATCAACAAAGACATGTAAAATCTGTTTGCTTATTAGCAACAGCTGCTACTCTGAACCCAGCAGCAGCAGAGCGCTTTATTCTGAGCGCTGTTTCAGAGCCAGCGCTGTTCTGTTGGTGCCTGTAGAACAAAGCAAACCAGATCTCTCATCATCCACTGTTTGTGTGTCTGTCCTTTCTTCTACCTGCCCAGCAGACAGATGGTCTTGACTGCGGGTCTTCCTCTCGCTTCACTGCCAAACATCCATATTTCCTCTGCATTGCCAAGGAAACGGTCATACCCCTGAAAACACCATCAACATCCTCATTTCTTAATTGCTCATCACCTAATGTCTTCTTCAGAGAGGATGCCAGCTCCACCTACCCCCAACCCTCCTCAGATACATCCCCCACAGTGAGGTGAGGGACCGGAAACAGTCATGGTTGTGTGACTGCCAAATGTACTGAAATAATCACCACAGCACACTTTTTAAAAAAAGAAAAATGAACAAACAAAGCTGACACAAGATGATTTGTTTTGACGACACAAAGAGACATACAGAGAAACACGCTGTCTGTATTTAGGTACATTAAATATCTTCTGCAAGCACTCACACACAGTATAAGTGCACTGAGTACTTTGAGTCCTAACCATTGTATCTGGGAAATGCATTATTGGTAATATTCTTCATTTGCATAGATTGATGAATGAACCTATTGAACAATCCGTGTGAGCAGTAGGCAGCAGGAAGACATACACCCTTACAATCATGTAAAGAAAGAAAGTACACCCTCATTTGACTCTAAGGTTTCTTGTATCAGGACATAATAAGAAAATCACCCGGTCCTTAGCAGGTTCTAAGATTACTTAAATAGAACCTGACCTGAACAACAACATATGCTATAATACACTGCGTCATTATCTAGTTAATAGAATCCAAGCCAAAACAAAGAAGCATTCCTGTGAAAAACTACATCGACACAATGATTCAAAAGCTTGCAGAACCAGCTTTACTTTATCTATTCTTTATCACTTTATCAGTCTCTCACATTGTTGTGCAGTGAGTTTGGCCATTGCAAATACTTGATTCTTTTCTCTTTTTTTAGCCATTCTGTTGGAGATTTTCTTGCTTGCTTGGGATCATGGGATATATTATAAACTAATATATCCCATGCTCTGAAAGTGCATCTTAGTTTTCTGAG